ACCCCTACTTCTTGGGGATTCTACTTTCAAGCTGTACGCTCTCGTTGCTGACATTATTATATTCATCCCTATTAAATGACCAAACCATTTCAGTCTTTGTTTTTTAACTTGTAATGTCTTTGTTTCTCACATGAACTCTTCTAGTTTTGTTCACGGTCTGTCTCAAATATTTCATTTCACAGATGGTAAGTTTTCTACTGTGTCCTCCTAACATCCAAAGCACTGTATGCTGTTGTTTTAAATGCATTCAAAACCAAATGGGTGAAGAAATTGATGAATAAAAATGTCATGTACTGAACTGTCTTTGTGCAAGCTTCTTTCTTAGCGTTCACCGCCTATAAACTACGCGGGAAAATTCTGGTTATTCGTCCACTCCTGAACTTTGATATTGTTCAAGCAATTGAGTTTTAAGTGCATATCCATTTTATTTGTCATGCCTATTTGTGTGCTGACTATTGGTTCCTCACCTTCAAGCATAAGCACTCCAAATTTGAAGGATACACCTAACTCCTTGCATGAAAGGGAAGCGGTGGGCCTGGCCTGCCCCCCCCCCCCACCTTCCGCCCTTTAATGGGGCTCCAGAACCCATATGGGGAGTTTAATTAATTAAATCGGAATGTATTACTGCTACTTAGAAGTAATAGTGGGAGTCGTCCGAAGGTTATAAGTTTACTTCCTGGCAGAGCCGGACTTTTTTCAAAAATGACCTTGACTCACAGGTCGACCCAACCTTGAGTGGGTACTGAGTGCAGTTCCGGGAAGTAAAGGTAGCCGGCGTAATGCTGACCACATCACCCATCCTGTGCCAACTGGTCTATAAAAATACAGGTCTAACCCGTTATGCCCTATATGCCTGAAAGCGTGGAAAAGGAACCTTTGCTGTTTTTTTTTACTTAGTAGTAATAGTACTCTGAAATAGCAAATCAAGAAGTAACATTGTCTAGGAAGAATAAAGTTAACATTTGATCTTCATGAGTTTTGAGGTCTGTGGCTAAGTCGATGCGAACGCTTTGTAATGCCGGGGTGCCGGGTTCGATCCCAGCTGCGGGCCATGCGTCCTGCATTGGTTTCGACAATGGTATCAGGGGGCCGACTGTCCAGAAGCAATGGCAAACTACTGGGCGTAAATTTGCCTAAAGAAACTACACAACAGCCAGTGGCTGCTGGGGTAGGTTGTGCAACGTCCTGTAAAGGATACACAACTAACCTTAGAGTTTTGAGACATTTTATTGAAACAGCAGTAATCTCCTCCTGTCAATAACTTCTGCATGTGTTGGTTCACAGCTTACCTTTATCTGAAAGTAATTTTGAGTGAGTAGTCCAACTAAGACCACATTTTTAGCCATTAACACCTTGTGCCTTAAATTGTGACTATTCAGATGAGAATTCACCAGGTACGTACAAACCCCAGTTGAAGTGTAAGGTTACGGGGTAACTGGACGCACAAGGCAGATTTGAAAAAATTCAAACTGATCTAGGCTCCTAGGCTGACCCAGCCTAAAATGGGTACCAGGATGTCATGGGAAGTAAAGGCGGCCACATTGATATTGATCCTATTACAAATCAAGCGAGGATAGCTGTATACATGGCATTTTTTGGTGGCATGCAGTACTGGCACATTTTTAGGCATTGTTTTGTAATAGAGACTGTGTTGAGTAGTGCGACTTAAAAATTTTTTTTAGACATTTTCTGGTGAGTATAAGTAGTACAAGAGTTGCACCGTGGGAGAGACTGCAGCCTCATTACATTATATTTTCAAAGGCAACAGTAGGTGTAGCCAACCTGCATTGTGGAAACAACAGAGAATATAGTCCCTTGTTTGACAGGAGAACCATATATTATGATTATCTGCATATCTAGTCCTGTGACTGGATTTGAACCAGTTATGAAGAGATCAAAACTGTACTGTGTACATCAATTTCCCCCATTCTCATCACAATTTCTGCTCATGCATTAAAAAGGTGTAGGAGAGAGAAATGAACAGCTTTTAAGACATTAGATTTTTGTTGTTGAAGCCTGTCATATTTAAATCATAAGTATTTATGCAAGCAATAAAATTTAATTTGGTAAAACCTTTAGTTTGCTGGATTTTAGTGAAAACATCTTTAAAACCGCATTTACACATTTCCATAGTTTCTTAATGTAACTATACAGCATGTGAAAAACTAGTCTTTAGTCTTCCTTATTATGTCTGTTGGAAGACTAAACAAATATATTAGGCAGTTAGCCTCTTCATCGATTATCTTTCACACTATTACATATATTTAGTAGTTAGCCTCTTCAACAATTATCTTTCACACTATTACATATATTAAGTAGTTAGCCTCTTCAACGATTATCTTCACACTATTACATATATTAAGTAGTTAGCCTCTTCAACGATTATCGTTCATACTATTAGATATATTAAGTAGTTAGTCTCTTCAACAATTATCTTTCACACTATTACATATATTAAGTAGTTAGCCTCTTCAACGATTATCGTTCACACTATTACATATATTAAGTAGTTAGCCTCTTCAACGATTATCTTCACACTATTACATATATTAAGTAGTTAGCCTCTTCAACGATTATCGTTCATACTATTAGATATATTAAGTAGTTAGTCTCTTCAACAATTATCTTTCACACTATTACATATATTAAGTAGTTAGCCTCTTCAACGATTATCGTTCACACTATTACATATATTAAGAGGTTAGCCTCTTCAACGATTATCTTTCACACCGTTACAGATATTAAGTAGTTAGCCTCTTCAACAATTATCTTTCACACTATTACATACATTAAGTAGTTAGCCTCTTCAACGATTATCGTTCACACTATTACATATATTAAGAGGTTAGCCTCTTCAACGATTATCGTTCACACTATTACATATATTAAGAGGTTAGCCTCTTTAACAAATATCCTTCATACTATTCAGATGAATAGAAGTTTGTTCATTCACAGAGAGTAGCAAAAAATTCAACAGATAAGAAAAAATCCAGATAATATGAGAGCAGTTATTTAATTCTCACTGGCAACAAAGACATGTTATTACTGATACAAGATAATAAACTCCAACAGTTTTCTATGTTAAATTCATACAGTAGCTTGCAAGGGACCAAATATATTTATTGATTACTTTTATCATGGAATGGGTAGCTCTCATGGTGTAGCGGCTAGACACTCGCCTGCGGATCTGAAGCTTGTGGGTTCAATTATGGACGGTGCTGGACCTTTTTCTACAAAAATAGCCTTGGCTTCCAGCTTTTTTTGGGTACCAGGTACAAGTCCTGGTAGGTAAAGACGGGCGGCATGATGCTGACCCCATCACTCACTGAGTTCTGGTTGGTCCATAAAAATATAATAGGTCTAGCCCTATAAGCTTGAAGGTGTGGAAAAGGGTCCTTTACTTACTATTTTACATATCATGGAATATGAGCTGTGGTAGTGTAGTGGCTCAATGCTCACCTGCGGTCCTGGGTTCAAATCAACATTGGGCGGATGTGGGGAAAAAAGTCACTCTAGCTCTCAGGCGGATCCAACTTTAAATGGCACTAGAAAATATTCGAGAAGTAAGGAGGCTTGATGCCAACTATATCACCTGACTGATGCAAACAAATATGAGTCTATAATAATATGCTAGACCCCTGTGTGGGATCCGGGGCCCTACTATGGGAAAAAACAAGAATAGACCTACTGCCTATCCAAAAGCATGTCGTAAGAGTTGACTAATTGGGAGCTTCATTCAAAGTCAGAATGTATCTGCCTGAGAGGCAAGGAACCAACAGCCTGCATACAGATCTGTCAAATGGATGCACATGCAACACTTGGGTTCTGGAACAGGACTGCAGTCCAGAAGTGGACGAACAACCAGAACTTTTCGTCGGTGAACGCGAAGAAGATGCTAGACAATGAAATGCAAAATAACGAAGTTGTACAAAGAAGTTTATAAGCAATAAATCATCATCATGCCGTGCTGTTATACATCACACAGGGCTGACAGTCTATTCTTCCATTCTATCCGGTGCAATCTGTCATGGATGGGATCCAATCCAGCACCTTTGGCTTCTCTCAGCAAAATTTACTTCTCGAACGCCCTGATTTCTCCAGTTCATCCCATTTCAGTCTCTTCAAACTCTCCAGGATGTGCTCAATACTATGCTATCTTCTTTATATGCAATAATTTACAGGGTCAAATAAACAACTATTAAATAAAGCAGCTGATAAGATACCCAAAAAAAAAAGGTCATCCCAGAACAGATTATCTAAGCTGCGCAAATTGAAATTTTGGCATAAAAGTCACAGCTCTTAATTGGTTTTCAGTGAGAAGAAGAGGGAAATATGTTTATCATAATGACTCTGAACTGGACAAAATTCTGTACGGTAAGAATTAAACATAAACAGATGAACTATTTCAATGTATTTATTCTGAGCAAGAACAAAGGAAACAAACTTCGTTTGTTCAAATTTCATATCCAACACAACTGTCAAAGGGCATTTCAAATTACTAATAGTTTTTTTTTTTTTAAATCATTAATTGTAGAAGTAACCAATCCATTTTATTCTGGGTTCAATACTGGGAAACCCAACTGCGATTTATGAGAAAAATAGGTTCTTTTGTAATAAGCCACCCTAGAAGACATCACGGGGACAGTCCAATATTTTACAGGGCGGTAAGACCGGGTTTTTCAGCTTTGTGATGCTTTTAACTACCCCAAAACATATAGAACTGGACTTAACCCCAACCCTCGAGAGAGTGCAGCCTAGGTCCCACGACTGTATGCAGCCTATATACGACTATCCCTGAAATACTAGACTCTCTGTTTGGGGTGACTTACGAAAACAGAACTGCCTCAGATTAAGCAAAACATTTATGTTGCGATAACAATTACCAATACTGAAATATTACTTAATATAGTGATGTTACACCATAACACCACCAGCTTGTGATGATTCATGTTACAATGGAAAATATCACACATTTTACAAGTTGAGAAACATGCAATCTCTCAGATCAAACCATTTGGATCTCTGAAATGGTGACGCAAATTATTTCCACGGCAACCCAGTTTAGTGAAGTATCTGTTTCGCATTCTTTGCATGTACTGAAGATCTTTAGCTCTCTGTTCCACTTGTAAACCTGCAGAGAGAAAAAATGTTAAATTGTACATCTCTGGAAGGTACCAAATTAAAATTGTTATTTAAAGTAAGCACAAATATGAGTCAATTTTAACATATGGCTGTCAATCCAGAACAGTTAGCAAACAAGAATTACAAGATCTACTTCAGTTAAACATATGGCACAATCAATAGACTCTGAAAGCCATTTCTAGTGCATCTGTTTCCTGTAAACTTTGATTCCCCCCCCTTTCAAGCTGCATGTTATGTTGTTATGTTAGTCTATTAAAGTGTACTCATCTTTAGAACTTCAAGACCTTGTTTAAAGCTCAGTTCCTATTAAAACAACTCACTGGGTCAAAGTGGGGAGGGGGGGGGGGAGAGGCTGCGTATGGTGTCCGCTTCAAGCGCTAGCGGTCGCGGGTTCACGCCCCGGTGAAAACTGGGACTTTTTGCTGTTCAAGTGGACTTCTAGTAATTTCCTGGTCAATTGGCAGTGAGAACGGACTCCTGTGTGTATTGTTGCGGATGAAAAAATCCACCGCCAGCAGGAAATTGAAAAGAGTAGCCTAACGGCTTGCCTGAGCAAAATTTGGAGTTAAAACCCTACCCAAAACATTTCAAGACCCTCACCGGTGCTACAGAGCCTGCGCACTGCGCTGAGCTACTTCGGACTCAGACTTTAATTAGAAGTGAGCATTGGGTTACTATCCGTGTGCCATGTTGATTCATTATTCAAGTTGCTTGTTCATTGTCCATGTTTCTGCATCATACAGCAGGGTTCAGTATATATAACGTGATAATTCTAATTTTCAATGTATTTTTTTTTTAATTTCTCCAGATAAAATAATATATGTAACTTACTGAAGATACTTTTTTGTTTTAGTTCTTCCATCAACTGTTACTGTATCCAAGACAGGAGAACCTTTTTACTTATTCTATTATCTCTGTTTACTGTGATGTTCACTATTAAACTCTTTTTTTTTTTTCACTGTTAATTCATGGACATAATAAGACTGGTGTGAGACTAACAAATACACTATGAAGAAAACAGCTGCAAAGTTCAACCAGTTATAAACAAGTCCACAAAGGATTTAGTTTGAGTTAGATGGAAGCTCATGCTTTATTGGTGCATGAAGAAAGAAAAGAACTGCCAATCAATGAACTGAATCAGAGATAAGACATTAATCACTAATTCAGTTCCACATCCTTCCCGCTTTCGAACAAGCAATTTTATGTATTCTTAAAGCAGATTCCGTACCTACATATTACATGATGTACTTGTTACATTTTTAAAATCTCACTTTATGCTAATTCTTTACACACAGGCATATAAGGTGACTTGGAAGTGAGTCTGTAAATGTGTATCTAGCACAACTGAACCATGAATCTTGTACTACTGGGTGAAACAAGTGGGGGGGGGGGGGGGGGGGGGGGGGGGGGGGGAGAGAACCACAAAAAACAAAATGCTTTGCATTTGGAATAAAATACCTGATGACCCTGTCCAGCCAAGTGCCTTATAGTGAGCAAGCATCTTTGGAAGGACTTTCTTGGTTGGTTCACGCAGGTAAGGAACCAAATTCTGTTTGTAGTACTTCATCAGTGACCTGTGTCCAATCACGCTGCCTGTTTCAAGAAAAGAATTTAAATGTTATGCAGATTAAACACGGAATCAAAATGCTTTCAGTGAAAAAATCCTTACACATCACCCTGGAACACAAATACTTTAACAAATAATGTTTAATTAGGAATCGAAGTCACAGCACTTGGGACATTCCCATAAGCGCCCCATCCCCATCTTCAGCAGCAAGCGATTCCAGTGGTACCAACAACAGTCTGATTGTATATCCGTCCTACCTTTCCCTTGATTGCAGATCATCGACCGGATCCCTTAGTTATTCCTCACAGTATCTTTCTTTTCAGACCATGATGATCCATCTGTTCCGAACTGTTCAAAGGGCCCTTATAACATCTAGTTTGCCATGCATCAGTTCACCGCCAAGTTACGCAGAACCAGCCAGTCTATCTGCCTGTTCATTTGCGAATATATCGGCATTTCCTGGGGAAAATATCAAAAGTAGGCTAACAACCAGAGACCTCAGAAACAGAAAGGAGAGTGGCTCCACATCAACCTGATTACATTAAACATTCTTGTACTGTTTTTCTTTGGGGGGGGGGGGGGGGGGGGGGGGAAAGGAGGTTAAGTGGTCTCAGGGTATGGCATCTACCTTGAGCGCTGGAGGCTCCAGGTTTAAACCGCAGTAAAGGCTGGGATTTTTTTATGTGAACTTCTAGTAATTTTCCTATTATTTCTGGGTAGTTAGACCGAACGCCCGTGTGTATTATTGTGCACGTAAAAAAAATACCTCGTCGGTTGGAAATAAAAAAAAGTAGCCTAACGCCCTGCCAGGGAAAACATTTGAAGTTAAAAATCTACCTAAAATATTTTAGGATCCTCGGCGGTGTAAAAGAGTTTGTGCACCGCACTTGAGTTAGAAATAAAAGGGAGTACTTATGGATTACACCCAGGTGCCGTGATGTTTATCCGTCAAATAAACATAATCACTACTGTACAATTAAAAAAAAAAAAAAACCAGCCCATTTCAATGATAGAACTCTGTTTAAGCTGAAGTTTGACATCTTGCACGAATACCTGTAACCAATAAAGTCTGGACTTTTGTCCTGATTTTGTTATGTTACCAAACCATAAAATTATTTATTTCTTTAGTCTTTCGTTGCTCTTTTGGCACAAAGTCTGCCTGTTTTGAAGTTTTTTTGTGTGTTGCTCCTCATAACTTGCTCAAATAAAACTTGTCCGTCAACATCAAACTTCTATGATGGAATAAGATTGCATCTTTTTTAAAGGATCACTGCATGCATATTTTTTTGTTGGTGTGCTGCAACTTGAATCTGATAGATCCCTGCCACATTTTAAATGTAAAATCAATACATTTCTAATTAATTCAGCAAGACAATGGCCACTACTATACTCCTACACAAGATATAATTTAGTGCTGTTACTAATTCCTCTTTACATTACAGAAACATCTAAACCTAAAAATGCTCACATATTCACAAGCCTGCTGGTTAAAGAGAACACAACAGAAGATAAAGCTACGATTTCACGCCAGTGTATTAGGGACCACACTAAAACAACAGAGACATCTAAACATAAATGCTCATACTTTCACAAGCTCGCTGGTTAAAGATTAAAGAGAAAACATAAAAACAGAACTTAAAGCTATGATTTCACGCCAGTGAATCAGGGACCACTGAAACAACAGAAACAAATGCCTACTGACAACAATAAATGACTGATATCTGACCTGAGGGAAGAGTAAGAGAATAGTCATCTCCATCCAACTCCTCCAGACTAACCACTTCATTTGGATCCACCTGCTGATCTTTGCCATCTGGATAGCTGGTTCTAGATTTGTAAAAAAAAAAGAGAAAAAAAAGAAAGGAAAAATTTGTGTCTGCAACAGCTAAACAATTTAAAAGGATATCATATGATTTGTTTGTGATAGAAAACAGCAAGGACGCTATTATCTTTGTAAACATAGGGTGAGCTGTTTGGGACTGAAAGCGTTAAGAGGTTGGGCTGATCCCACCAGATAACGCTGCTTCTCTGTCAGTAGTTAAACTAGGACCACTGCTATGACAGGCAAGCACCAAAGTGACTCAGCAATGTTATATCATGTCTGTGTCGTCTCCACAATGAAGTCTGGCTACAGAGCATCACTGCCCTCTTTGGGAATATTACGCAGTGGAGACCCAATCTATTCCACGGTGTGACCTTCATACCACTGTCCGAAAATTACCAAATATATATTAAAAGGTCAATTATAATATTCAGAAGGTGGTACAAGAGACATGGAAGAAACGGAGAAACAAGATAAAGACAATAAAAAAATATTTTAAAAAAGGAAAATTAAAGGCTTGTGCTTACAAATTTGATAGGCCTGATGAAAAGAACAAAATTATAGTGCCATAAGAATGTACTTACGTGTAATCATAGAAGTCAGAAAATTCAAATATGGTATCTCCTTCATAAAATATCTTGCAGTGGCCCTTGTCAATCATGTGCTTCTGTACATCTTTTGTACTATGAAATCTCTTGCCCTTCTCATTACACCACAAACAAAGATGTCCCAATCCAACTTTTTCACCTGTAGATTAGGCAAATGTGTACCAAGTTACTGTCTTGATATTAGCTCAAAAGCAGTCACTTTAAATCTCAGCAATACTGTTTTAACTGCAATTCTTCTTTCTCTTCACATTCACTAGCTGTAAGATCCAGTAGAACATTCTAGCTTTGCAGAGAAAAAAAATATAATCACGCTGAACCAGGGGGCAGCTTTTGGTTATAACTGTGACTAGGTTTATGTGTGTCATATAAAATGGCTTAGGCTTAGCACTGCTTGCCATAAAGCAGCCCTGAAAAGGACTCTTGCTGTGTTGGTACAATCAAGACAGATAGAAAGACCTATACTGTCCCAACTGACGACAAAGCCGTCTACTGGCCAGCTAATGGGCGATGCAGTCACTGATGAGCCACAGAACACACAGAGGGAGTTTTTAATGACTTACTTTTGTAGCGGAAAGCAAAAAACCTCGACCACTCAATATGGTGACTTCTTACTCAATAGGGATAATCAGCGGGAATAAATGTATCATTTCTGCTAGAAGAGACAGATTATGAGACTGTCCCAAATGTCATGAAGACACTTTTTCACTTAAAAACAAAAATGTGGGCTGTTTCCACAATGAAGGTTGGTTGCAGTGCATACAGTGCTTACTGTCTTTGGGAACATTACACTGTGAAGCACCGTCTCTTATACTACCGCCTGGAAGCCTTGAGTGCAGTCTTTTTCTAAACAACCACCTGGGGAAAACAGATCCTATTATGTTGAAAATCATATAATCATTTATCACAGTGCAAAGCTTCAGTTCAATTTAGAATCTAAATAATCATGTTGAACTGCTTGGTTTTAACTGCAGTACAAACTTTTATTGTTATTCCTTCTTTTCGTCTCAGCAATGTCATTGCCGTGTGCCTGTTTACAGCGAAGCTGCGGTATTTGTCTCTTTCAGCCGACACATCCGACTTCATGGAGCATTTGTCTGTCGGGTTAACCTCCCGGTGCTGTTACTTCATGGAAAGTTCTTGCCTGTTTGAGGACCATGTTTGGTATTGTGCTAGCTGAAATGCACTCATGTTGGTGCTGATACAGCTTGGTCTTCATTGACTGTTTCCTTGATTGGTTTCTGTGCCACCTATGTCTGTCTCGAGTTTGCTGACTGGGGTCTCAGCAATCATTGCCTGGTAGTCAGCAAAGCTTCTCTTTAGGTCTGAATAAAGGCAGTTGAAGTTACAACATCACCTACCTCTATTCTGAGGGTTTCAAGTATTTAGAAGACAACATCAAATACTTAAAGGGGGAATATTGCATTTGTAATTTCCAATCAGTATAATTCTCAAGCCTTTGGTTTTCACAATCTTACCTTTGCACAAAAGCATCCTCAGTTTCAGGGCAAATAAATATAGAAAAAAAAAAAAAAATAATGGCAGAGAATCACAAGGCATAAAGATTCTAGAAAACGAAAACAATGCATGTAAATTACCCAAATATGTTACAAGACCTTCCAGGTCACAAACATATTCTGCATCAGGTAAAAAGAATCCATGTGCTGTCATGTGGTTTACATTCTCCTGCATGGAAGAGCTGACCAGGGAACAAAAAAAACACTCTTCAAGACCAAAAGCTTCTTCATCAGAACTATTCCAGGATTCTGCATCTGAATCACCTGAAAGGCAACAATAGAAAAAAAAAGGTAGTCCCACATACTCTTTAAAATGTCACAATTTTATGTTCTGTTTGTAAGGCAATTAGCAGCCCGTTAGGACCATGGAGTTATGCCACTGGTTTTGGAAACAGTGTCTGCTATGACTGTGAAGTCCAATGTGGGAGTGGCAGTCTATGTCACAAAGTCCACATACAAATGCTGATGTTATTCTGAGGCTGACCTTTCTCTCAGACGTCTCCTCACTATAGCTTGCTGCATCTGACCTTGTGCAAACTGCAACAGCCTGTCTTTCACTGCCTGCCTACAAAGGAGTCAGTGTGCAGCTGATCCCCCCAAGTGTCTGTGTCAATGTTGACATATTTCAGGTCATATCTGCATATGTCCTAATACTGTAGCATTGGCCTTCCTGCAGATCTGATCACATATTTAGTAGTTTGCCATATATATGAAGAAGAGAAAAGTGCTTTTACCTATACTACAAATAGTCTGACTATGAAGGTCATGGCAGTTACTAAAGCAATAACCTGGCTAAGACACAGATCATCACTCAGGTATGCTTTCTAAGGAATTCCAGTAAAATTTGACATGAAGTGAACTACACAAAGATAACAATGAGGAGAGGTGAGTATATAGATCTCTAAGGGGTGACGTGAGCAAAGTTTTAAAAAATGTGATGTGGAATGAATTTTAAAAATGTAATAAACGATGGCTAAAAAAATAGTCGCACAAAATAAAAAATAATATTGGTAATATATATTAGTGGGAATAAAAGAAATACAAATGGTAATGATACATAAATGATACTGATAAGAGACAGAATAAAGTAATACTATTAAATAAAATAAAAGAATTAACATTTAAAATGTGATAAGAGTAAAACTGGGGCTGAGGCGATTTTTCAAAGCGAGGCCTGTAGTATGATTGCCAGAGCAAGATTTTAATGCTGTAACATATATATCATCTTTACCTCTGCGGTCAGAGCTGTTAAAATGGAGAGGGATTGGTTTAAGCGTCTTCTTGTTAATATCAAAGAGGTATTCCCGGAAACAATCAGCTAGCTTCCTGCCAGTTTTCCCAATGTATTATGCCTTGCTGTATCGTTTGCTGATTATTGCATAAATTACGCTGCAGGATCCACAAGTAAAAGGTTCCTTAATTTGGAAAGAACCATTAGGAAACTGACAAAGAAGTCTGGACAACGAAAAGGCATGCCTTGCACGTGCTGCAGAAGCATTCAGTAGTCTCAAAAGGAAGTGCTGTTCAACAGGAGTCGGCTTCTAACAAGTATGTCTTTAATGTTGTGGTCTTGTCTATAAACTAATCTTGGCTTCTCACTAAAGATAATCTTGGTGTCCGGATCAGAGCGGAGGATGTCCAAATGATGAAAGAATACCTTGGAAGCAACCACACTGTTAGGGTGAAAAGTCAAAATCAATTTGGGTCCATCGCTGGTGGAATTACGTTTGGTGGGGAAAGCATCTCTCCTGGTGATTGTTAAAACTTTGTTCAGAGCCTCTTGTAGAATGTGTTCAGGATAGAAATGGGCATGGAAGAAATTAAGAAGTTCAACTGGTTTATCAAAGAAGTCACAATCATCAGAGCACAACCTGCGCAGTCGAAGGAACTGTGAATACGGAATATAATTTTTACACGGTAGTGGGTGAGACGATGTATAGAGGAGATAGCTGTGAGAATCCCTGGGTTTCTAGTAGGCTGTGATCTTCAGACATGGGAAATCAATGCTAACCATGATGTCAAGAAAGTTCACTGAAGTGGCGGAGATCAGTGAGGTGAATTTGATGGTCGGATTGAAAATGTTGATGTAATTGATGAATTGGTCAAGTTTCAACCTTTTCAAGTGACCCACTGAATATATGCTTGCTGATCTTTAAGACTGGCTGAAGTCTCTTACGTGGTCATGGTTGACAAAGATCAGTTTTATTATTTTGCCAGGGCATGCAGTAGTAAGAGGAAATGAACAGGCTGATAGGCTTGTGGGTGAGGCTTTAAAATAATGAAAAACTGTGTCACACATTGTGACAAGAATAAAATATGAATAAACAAAACTGGAGACATCAGCTGGGGGATATACTGAGGAGGAAATCCAAGCACTTATGGTCTTGATAATTTGATGAGCAGTTATATTTATTTGTTAAATAACTAAGTCTGCCATTCCTTCCTCAGAGGTACAAAACTCATGCTATTCTCAAAAACAGTGAAAAGTGGTCTGCCACCAAACTGAATGATGATGAAAATGCAATAGTTGTATATTTCTTGGGTAACAGCCAAAATGACTGTATTGTTGATTACTTAAAATAGTAACACAAGTAGGTTAAAGAAAAGTGTTTTAAGTTGAATAGACCGACTTCATCAGGTTTTCTCTCATCTTCCAGGAAACGTGTTCCATTACAGTTCTTTCTAAACTACTGTTGTGTTGAATACAGGCTATCTATTTTAGTTTCTGAGACATGACGTTTACAAGCAAGTTCTTAGTTATTCATTCAGGGAGGGGGGGGGGGGGGGGGGGGGGGGGGGGGGGGGGGGGGGGGGGGTACGTTCTCTGGATCTGCAGGAACACTAGGAAATGAACATGCAGGCAGATTGGCTGGTTCTGCATGAATGGGTGTTAATGTATGCATGACAAGCTAGATGAGGCCAAAGTCCTTTGGAAGCAAATCAATAATGACTAGGTACAAATAGATCGTTATGGTTTAGAGAGAATGGTACAGCTATGAATGACCAAGGGATCTGGTTAACATTCTACACTCAGAGGTAAAGGTAAAGTCGGGAGATGCGAACCAGCGTCATTGCACACGGTTATAAACCATAAGTGCTCTGCCACCAGTACAGACAGCTGATAAGAATTGTCCGTCTGTGTCGCTGTTCGCACGTAACTCTATAGCTACAGTGACGTTCCTCCGTTTAGCCCAGAGTGTCAACACTGGTACCCATTTCCAAGAGGCTGGGTGAACTCCAGGAACCGCCCGGTTTCGAACACCGGCCGTGGGCTGCAGCGAGTCGCAGCTGGATTTGAAAGCGAGCCTCTTATCAACTGTGCTAACATGGCACCCAACACTCATAGGAAAGCAAAGATGGACACATAATCAAACTGCTACAGGCACCACAGAATTTGAACTCCTTGCTGGCTGCTAAAGATGAGGATGGTGAATTTTTGGGTAGGTAGTTTTAAGCTCAAAATGTCAAACCTGGTAGAATGTCTGTATATTTCTTTCTCTTGATTACCAAATAATTTTTCGGTGACAAGTTTAAAAGCACAAATTTTGTAGTTTAATGACTGAAATGGTCCAAGACTGAAACAAGTAAGTTACTACACTTGTAAATTTACTTAGGTTACATGATCCCTTTGCCACACTTTTACAGCATTAGCTTTACTCTACATACGGCCTATAACTCACACCTGTATGATACTATATTTGTATTGAAATAAATGATCTACGATCTGTTATAGAAGCTGCAGTTCTTTATATTTGGCCATGACTGAAATCTGGTTGCTATACTGAATATTTACTTAAATCCATAAGCTATATATTTGTTTATTTTAAAAAAAAACATAATAGAGAACTGCTACTTCATTATTATTCTAAGCCCTTGAGGTTCAAAGCTGTAGATATCAACTGCCTCTATTAATCTCTCTGAATTTATTTCCAGTTGGTGACTCCAAGTATATGTAGGTCTGCATATATTATTTTCTCTCCGATGTCCTTTTGGTCTGTCTCATAGTCCTCTCCCATTCAATGCAGTTTTTAATTTAAAAATGCACACACACAAAAATCAACACCGTAAAAAGCAAAAACATGAGCAAACCTTCTTCCATGACTTCTGCTGTGTTTTCAATGACCTCTTTCTCATTCACTGATGGTTTTGAGGCACTTGCAACACTCTTAGGTTGTTTACTGGGCCTTTTTGGTTTCTCAGCACCAGAGATGACTTCAATGTGCTTCTTCGAACGAATGTGATTTTCATAGGAGTTGACAGTACTGAAGGATTTATTGCAAGGTTTGCAAAAACTTGTATCTTGTGAAGTTTTTCCTTCTTCCTAATTGGGGTGGGAAAACAAAAGCTCAATAATAATACGAAAAAAAGATTTAAACTTTCTCCCATTTGTTAAAATCAATTAATTCATTGTTAATAAATCCCTCCTATAACATGTGGTTTAACTGACCATATGTGATATTAACTTTGATTCTGTCCATCCCAAGGAGCAGAGCCCAAAAACAATAACATGCTGGTCTAAACAAGTTTAACACAGACACCATGGGACAGAAAAATTCAACTAAAGATTCAAATACAAAGGGTAATTCAGGAACTGTCTGTGATAAAAGACAGCAACAAGATTATCTTGCTAAAGAATGACAAAGAAATGTATTACACATTGTTTGCTACTGAAAGCGTTCAGAAGTACTGAAAGAGTAAGGAATTGAGTTGAGTTTTAGAAACCGATATCATAGCACTCAAGATATTCCCATATGTGCTCAGTCACCATCTTCAGCAACGAGCGAAGAGTTCCAACTTCCATGGTGCCAACAACAGTCTGACTGTAGTTGTGTCTTGTCTTTCCTCTTAGTGTGGTATCTTCCCTAGTCACTCCCTGCTGCACCATTTCTTTCAGACCAGAATAATCTAAGTGTGCCTTCGCACTGTTCACTCCCTCACACAAAAAATTTGACAACATTGAGCTTGTCATACACAAATTTACCACCAAGTGGCGCAGAGCCAGCAAGTCTGTCCGCCAGTTCATTTCCTAGCCATCTGTATACCCTGGAGAAAATATCCAAAGGAGGCTAAGTACCCTGGAGAAAATATCCAAAGGATGCTAAGTACCCTGGACTTCTGAAGTGATAAATGCTACTCTGCACGAAGCATACCCGTCCCAACTTTCCTCAGCATGCTTTGCAAGTCAGTTATAATCACATGTGTGTGCAGCTGATTTTCAAGCCAGTGGAAGGCTGCAGTGACTGCCTCTACCTCTATTCTCAAACTAGTTGTGATATCATATGCCAGGCTTTGCTGCACTAAGGGTCGTCCATTAGCTTTTGCTATGAACCCTTATGCACTTCTACCTCTCAATACAGAGCCATGGGTATAAATAATCACATCATGTGGGTGGGAACTGTCAGGAATCAATTGTTGAATTTCTGTCCCTGCACTCCCTACCCAATGTGATTATAACCCTACAAAAGTCTGCCTGTTTTTCTGCTACTCTGTTCCCCTCATCTTCAAATATTTTCAAGCATCTATACAGGTCTAATTGTACCTTCTGCCTGAGCTAGCCAAGACCTTCCTCTTTTTAGTCTGTGTTCCTTAGCTATAAAAAGAATTTTGCAAGAGGTGTTTCTTGGGTACAGGTCACGATAAGCGGCAGAGGATTGGAGTAATTTCCCTTGCCCCCTTAGGTCGCCGGAACTCTCCTATGTTGCAGGGGAGTCATGTCTTCTTTATTTTGAACGCTTTAACCGTTGCCTCTTTTCTCAAACACTCGCTTGCGTGGGTATTTTCACTCTCAGCTACCATGCGACGGTTCAGGAGTATTAAACTGCTTTCATTTTCTCAGGCACAAGCCACCGTCAACGAATGTAGAAATAGAAAAACATCCCAGTTTTGATAGCCAAGAATCATTGCGCGTGCCGCATTTCCCCCTGCAGTATTTTTTACATGTACAGAGGTGCCTGAAATACTCACAACACAACCTCCCAAATCAATTACATACTATGAGCGAATGCCAAAACAAGCCATATCATAACACCCTTGCAACAAAGGAGAGGTCCAGTGACCTAACAAGGAATGAATGGCAGGGGAAGTTACTCTAATCCTGGGCCACTTATTGTGACCAGTTCGGTTCTTGTTTGTTACCACTCTCAGGCAGGACTTCACTTGCAAAGTTAAGAAGTATTGAAAGAGTTAATTAAGAAGGTATATTTTAAAACAAAAAATTTTGGCTCTGAACATCATAGGTTCAATTGCTAGGACATTTTAATTATCATGTTTTCTAAACTCTATGTCTTCTATTCAATTCAATGCCAATCTTTTGTCTCAAATCATGTGATGATGATTCACTGAAAGAGTCACACATTAATGATTTTTCCTTGTTTAGTTAATTCTCACTGGCTCCACTCAGATTATTAACTCATTCTGTGTCAAGTAAGAAAGCTTAAATTTATTATTAGCTGTCTATGCTATACATCACACGAAAACTGACTTTTCCCAACCCTTTTATTTCTTGCCTTGTTAACTTAACTTTTGTTGGGTCACTGATGTGATTTCTGTGTAATGTGTGTGGCTTTAATCCAAAGTAGGTATATCATTTAATATGTTTTAACTCAGTTTTATCCTGGTTCGTTACTGTTAACTTAAATTATACACTTTTAAAAAAGTCTGTATTGAGCTGGTGTAAACCAAATCAATGGGGAATATAATCCTAATCTGCACCGTCACAGTGATGAGTGACAGAATCTGAATTAATAAATAAATAATAAATCATTTACTATATTAGATTACCCCCACTGTGAAGACGACACTGAATTTGTCAATGTTATAGAATTAGGATTATACACTACACTACAGTTGCTACTTCATCATCATAATTCGCTTTTATTCCATAACCTAAAACAGCAGTGGAGTACCTGTTTCTCCTGGAGTTGTTGCCTCTCTTCAAATTTCTCCAAAGTAACTGGGGATAGACCAGCAACTTTTCGTTTTAGATTATAACGATGCCAATCTGTTTTATAATGAAGACGGCCCAGGTTAGTATCTTGAAATGCAACACTACACGTTAAACAAGTTAAGGACGACATACTGCCAGTTTTGATCACGACTACTAAGCACAATGATTGCGACAGAATAAGAAACTAGCACCAAAGTACACACGATGAGAGGAAATGGTGTTTCGTGTTAATGGAGCTCTTGCGTCGTGAAAAACAAGTCTTTTTCTACACGACTTCCTGTAGGTCTTTCAAACATTTGCAGAGAAAACAATGGTGAGCGATAAATATTGTGCTAGTTAAATCTGTCAAAATCTTAACTAATTTAAGAATATTTTAACCTTTTTATTTATCAAAATCAAGATAAATTTATTTGCATCTATGCAGATATTTTTGATTGTATGATTGTGCATTGTTTAAGCAAATAGAGTGAAATATATCTATGGTAAATAAAGCAAATTTAATAATAACAAAAAAACAATTTTCATGTGTGCACATATTCAGTGTATTTGAGACTGCTCAGGCAGTTTTTGATCTTTCTCTGTCTCTCTCACACACAGCTGTGATCGTATTGTGGACGTGTGATTATATTGAATATTGTTTACCGGTTTATTATGTACAGGACTATACAGTATATATACAGTATACAGCCAAAAGTTGGGCTGGGACTTAAAAAAAACAAGTCGAAACATTCATTATTAACAAGACTGACTATTTTCAATAGTCAGGCTTGTTAAGAATGAATGTTTCGACTTTTCTTCTGCTACCGTTTTTACGAAGTTGGTTGATGTCTTAGACTTCATCTACTAAAAAACACTGTAGCTTAGCCCTTTGAAGACGTAGCCTTTTTGGAGTTTCAGTGCTAAAAAGACAGAGCCTTCAGGAGGAGGCTCTTTTAGTTTACACACACAAATTGTAAAAAGTAAAGTGTTTAATTAACATTTACATATACAGAACTTTATATGGCTCTCCTGTCAACTTCAACTACGGCTGGTAGACAACAGTAGACAGCCGGTTAGTCGGAGTTCTGTCCCCTGGCTGCAGTGCAATTATGGACTGTAGAAGGCACGAATCAAAAAACAAAGTGAGGTCAACATGCCTTGCAGACCCCGCGCTGCGACTTAAATTAGCGACCGCGTTCAATTACCGCTTCTTGCGACGCATTACGGATTGGATTAGAGGGAACGAAAAAAGTGACATAATTACTGTGTGTTGGCGATAGACAGCGTGCACTGCCCTGCTATGATCATACGATTTGGGTTAGGGGTAGGATGTGGGTTAAGTTTAGGGTTAGGTTTAGGGTTTGGGTTGCTACTTTAAGTTTGTGCGAAGGCAAGATGCGGCGACAATAACCGTAACCCTAAACCTAACTCAAACCCTAATCGTATGATCATAGCAGGGCAGTGCACGCTGTCTGTCGCCAACACACAGTAATTATGTCATTTGTTTTGTTTCCTCCTGTCCAGTCTAAATAGCACTGCAGCCAGGGGACAAAACTCCGACTAACCGGCTGTCTACTGTTGTCTACCGGCCGTAGTTGACATGAGAGCCCTTTATATTTATATAGGAAATCGAATAGGCCAACAGAATATTTATTATGAATTAAACTGAAATCTTAACATATGTTCAAATTAACTGTTCTGACGTTCTGAATTGCATAATTTAATTTATGCATTTTGTTTTCACTTGGAAAACCAACATCGTAAACCTTAACCCTACCAGACCGCTGGCCCCATTTTCTGGGAATTTCTTAACCTGACAGTATACCGCTGGCCTTAATTTTCGGCTTTTTGCGTAGTACGGGAAAACAATGAGTCACAGGCTAAAAATAACCAGCCAATCGAAATCAGATGTCGTGGATAGTCTCCCTAGATGTCCGCCTGCATGTGTTTGGATAAAATTTGTGTTGTTTTACGTGAACAAATGCTGAAACTTCACAATAAAATGAGCCGCTGATGAACCAAGCACTTCGATAGGAAAGTAGGTCTAGACTTTTCACAGTCCAACAGGTGATCGATACTTTGGTTTATTCAGACTCTGCAGTCATTATTTCATGAAGAATACGTTCACAGTTGAAGTGACAGATTCAGCTCGAATAATGAGAATCTTGAAAATTATAAATGTAGAAATAGATCGATAGTAAGAGAGGGGGCGTGTCCTTCAAACAGCAACATCTGGTGCTCACTTTGTCAAACAATCCTGATCCTCCTGAGTGAATTGGCATACAAAGGTGGAAAATTGGCACTAGATAAAAAGATAAGTTTTATCTTATTCTAGCCACTTGTTTGCATGTAACTAATATCTTTGTATATCAATATCATGTTGGCTTTTTTGCGTTAATTAATGCCCAGGAGCTCAGGTATAGGGGACAGGTTTAGTGCCTTAGGTCTGGTAGGGTAAAAAAATTTTATGGATGAAGACTGAAAAGTCCTAACACCTGTTGTTTTGGAAGTAAGGCCTATGGAGACACTGGCAAATGCTTCTACTCCATTTCCTGTCTGCTGCTATGTTTTGGTTGCTGTGACGCAAGTCGTTTTTTGTCATTGTTTACATGTAACCCCACCTAAAAATTGATGTGAAATTTCAGAACACATCAAACTTTCTCGAAAACTGCAACTGATTGAAGAGCCCAGATGTGCACAAAATGCAAGAAGCAATCTGATTAGCTGGTACGAAAACCTGCCAGCCAGTCCTAAGGCTTTTATTACGGGCCGGCCAGTCAGCCCATTCGTCTTTTTGGCTGTTTTTTGACATGCCAATAAATTGGTCGTGTCGTCTCTAAAGGGTTAAGCATTCCTCTTTAGAGAGATAGTTAAAAAAAGTATCACAGTGTTACACAACTTCAGTATGTATTTCCAGATAGTACAGTCTAGACAAGATATTGGATTACATGATAATTTCCTGATTAGGCTATATTCTGTAGGTACTACGTTTTCTTCGATCGATCGGGCACTTCCGGAAACGGAACGGGCTGGGTTGCTACCCATAACAATGTCCGTAAGTTGTCGGTGAATTTTTTCACGATGATGATTCGTTATACACATTCGGGAAACCTCGGGGATTCCGACGAGCTATATATAGCCCAAGTCAAAGCAAATTGGTTGACTTTCACATTCCTCGTGGTCTGAAAGCATTTGATCGTGTTTTGCTACTGCCGATCGTGTTTGAATATATAGCGGTAAGTAGCCACATTATTTGATAGCGTTCAACGCATTTAAACGTAATATTCTTGTAATTATTCGATTCTCTGTCCAATTTAACTTTAGTTTGTAAAATTTTATTAGTATATTCTATGGGGGTGATTTGCAGTGGGATTTTCAAGATGCGATCCTGAAACCATCGTGGGTGAAGAAATTGGCGTCCATCTTGTTGCTTTAGAATAAGCCTTCAGCGT